ACAGGAAGAAAAAACTAATAAAGCAGGAAGAAAAAAAGTTGTTTCAACATAGACTGTATAAAAATGATAGACATTGCCACCATGTAGTCACTGATTGGTTTGTGAATTCCCATTCTGAAGCCTTGAGTTTGGGATTTTGGCTGTCGCCAAAAGTGGCCATTTGGGCGAGAGGCTGGCGCTGTGGAGGAGCGAGGGGTGGCAACCGACAACCCATGGACATTATTGGTACATTGCAATAATTATTGGCACAACCTTTCACTTAAAGCAGTCATGCCCTTAATTATGTATAAATTTAGGTCTTAATAAAATTTAAATGGGTGGCGTTATATAAATATTCAACCCCCATACAGTTGTCATGAACTGGGAAATTAGCTGTAAAGTTCAAAAACTTTTTGTTCCAGGATTTAAACATGTTTATTGTGCTGTAAAGTTGGGCATTTTAACATGAGCTGTATGAGGGTTGACTCACTTTTTGAGCCAGCCTCAAGTGGCCATTAGAGGAACTGCAGTTGTTGGCACTCCCACAATGGCTTCATGTTGCAGCCCAGGCTGAAACAGGCTGCCACTTGGGTCCAAATCAAAACCATTGTTACAGTGACAAATATATTTTATCACAGTGCTATGAGAAACTAATAATTGGAGTAGGAAAAGAGCTTCAACCTTTTTGTAACAAACTGAAATGGCCTGTCACTCTTTTAGAATGGCCTTTAATTTAGACTAGGGCTATCCTTTTTTTTTAGGTTTATATATTCTGTTTTAATGTATTTTATCTATGTTGAAAGACGTTTGATACCCTGTAGCCCTGTTGCACTTTCCATTGTTTTTTTTCAATGTTATCAATGTTGAGCACTTTGGGTACCTTTGGGTTTTGTAAAGGGCTATAGAAATAAATGTTGATTGACTGATGTTGATTGTCAATCTCAAATCAACTAGCTTAATATGACTATAATGAGTTTCAGAATCAAAAGCAAAAGTAGCATGATGTTGATTTTGGGAGCAGGTCAGGGTAGCTGAAAAGACATACAAAGTGTTTTTTTTTAACCGTGATTGTTCTGTACATGAAACATTTGACTCCGCCCTCTACATATCCACCAGGTGGCACATATTTAATTTGCACCACTTTTACCTCTGGGCCTTACAGTACAAGGAACAGCATCAGCATGCCATCCCATTTATCAAGTTCTCATCCTGCTTTTAGTTGCATAAATACATTCGTTTGACAGATGACTTTGCTAATTGCCTTTTCAAACTGCAGTAATCTCTCGCTGCAGTGAGCGAAAATTAAAAATGCAGTGCCCTGAGTATTGTTTTTTCATGTCTGAGCCTGCATTTATCCACCTGAAATTAATTCTCTAATTTGTTTGTAAGATAAACAGGGAATACTTGGGCTCCCAATCCACTTAAAGCATCCTCTCCGCTACTTTACATATCCATTCTGAAATGCTGATTTGTCCCTGAAGATTCCACCCAGCAATCCTGCTAGTCATTAACAGTGAAATGAAGAGCAAGCCTCTACTTTTCTGAAGGGCACCGTAAAGTCTTGTAAAGTGTCACCTTAAGGAAAGTGTTAATGCAATGTGTGTTTGTCTGCGCTGACTTAATCCAAGCAGTTGGAAATGTGAAACTAGACACTGAGAATTCACACTTGAGCTGTAGTGTGATTTGTGCTGATGTGTTTGCTGCTAGCACCTTGGATCAGTATGGAGGCGGGTGATGACATGCCTGTCCAAACACAAAGCATCAAGAAACTGAAAGCAGTCACACTTGTCACTGTGGTGCACTCAGTGTGTTTAAAGTGCTCCTCTAAGCACCCTCTAATTATTAGGAAACTTTTAATAACGTCTTTACAATTTTGACCTCAACAAAAATCACTAAAAAATGGTTTTACTTTACTTTTAATCATCTTTAAAGCGGACAAGCATAAAACAGGTTGACAAATGTACCAATAAACACTTTTCTGGACTCTTTGCAGTCTAGTTTAGAGGGTAGGTCATTGTTGGTATTGGTCTTTTCAGGGGGTTCACTGACAGGAAAACTATCGAATTCCACTAGAGTTATTTTTAGCAACATGATATTGCTATAACATAACTGACAACAAGACTAAAGATGACATGAGTCTCAGTGTAGGACATTAGCTATTGTACATTTCTGACTCATCACAAGTTGTGAGAACAAGAACAGAAACAAACTGAAAGGTAGGACGGACACAGGTTCCAGTCCAAAAACCTGAAAAACTAGACTGCAGATTTTGTGCCTAAGGTTAAAACTATTTGACAGTTTGAGTTGCTTTTGGATACTGGAAGAGAAAAAAAATCTAAAACACTACTTTTAAACCTACAATCACTGAGTTTTTTTTCTGAACATCTGGTGAACTCTCTGTTTTTGGTCTCTGCCAACTCCTCAGGGAAATACCTGGCTTTTTAGCTGTGAAATTATCTTTAAGAATTATTGGTTATATTTGGTTTAATGTTTGTAATTTGTAATTTTCCAGTCCATAAATTCTAAACTTTTAGGGATGCATGATGCTGCTCATATATTTTGCTCATATCTGATATGGCGTTATGTGCCAAATGATTTTGGCTGCCAGCCAATACTGATATTTGCACCTATTTTTTTCAACCTAATTGCAGTGGCATTCGCTTATTATTATGCCTACTCTTATTGTGATGGCCCACTGGCAGATGCTGTCATAAAATACAATGCTTTTCAAAATGTACAGCTTCACTGGGAAAAATAAGAAAAACAACTTCAATTTGGTTACATATCAGACATGTCATATTTACTTTTATGTAACATTTTCAAACAAACTGTCACATTCCTTCTACTTTAGCAGGCTTAGATGATGCTCTCCTTGAGTAAATCCTGACAATAGCCACAACCAAGGCAAACATGACCAACTTTGACTCATTTAAGTCTCATAATTTAAACATAATTGTCATTTCAGGCCAGTGCCAATAATTCATTTTAAAGCCTTTATCTGCAAATATCTGATGACATTCCAGAATAATTATGCATCCCTAAATATTTTATACCTCATTAACTGGATTTTGCATCCAAAGATAAACTCTTGAATATTTAAAAAAATCCAGCACCTTTTAAAGTGAAGATAAAACACTGAATAGTATGACTGTGGTTCATTTGATATTTACCTTAGGCAACATATAACACTGCAGTCAAACTGGACATTAACCTAGATTTGCGGGAAAACTAGATTGTATTTCACATTTTCGCCAGCAGGGTTCACCCATCTTACAACAAGCTTGTTGGTGATGTCATAGCAATGCTTGTTTACTATGAGTGCTCTATACAATACTGCACTTGAGACTAGTTTGAATAATTTTTAACTTAACTAAATAAGTGTCAGTACAATGGAAGTTTAGAGTTTAGATAGGATATAAAGAACCATGGCCAACTTTAAAAGCCAATTACCTGTGATTTTTGAGCCAGTAAGACCAAATACAGTGGTAAGATCTGTTTTCATGGAGTCGGACCACAGCTGTGAAAGTAAAAGTGAAGAGCCGCCTGAACTTGAGTACTGTTACATCCAATGTCAGGTTGACAAACAACACCAAACACTTATTTGTATCAAATATGCGCTCTACTGCTCTGCATCAAGCGATCCAATGTGTGTCCAACTTGACGGAAACTACATGACTCTACTCAAAACAAAACTCAAAGTCTTAAAAGGACAAAACATGCTTTACAGTACCAAGCTCAACGAGCCTAGCTCCATTACTCCTACTGGAGAACAAGCGGACAACAGAGACAAACCATTCCAGTGACATCACCAGCTAGCTTGTTGTAAGATGGCTGCGCCTTGCTGGCCAAAACGAATATACAATCTAGTTTTTGGCAAATCTAGGTTGATATCAGATTTGATTGCAATGTCATATGTTGCCTAATGTAAAATTCAAACAAACCACAATCATAAGTTTCAGTAATTCATCTCCTCTTTATTAAGCATGAAACCATTGTGCACCTTACTGTCTGCAGTAGATTGTGAACAGCTCAGTCATCCTGTGTTATCAAGGTGAACGTCATCCCATAGCACTGCCAAACCACAAGGTTTCATTTGACCTTTATAACTCTAATAACAAGATTACAGTGATGTGAAAAACTAATTTGCATGCAAGCACATGTTTGCACAACTGCTGACAGTCCGCCTGGCAGATATTAATGAATGACTGACCACAGTTCATGACTGACAGACAGCTCATGGCAGTGGAAACAATCGTTATTGTGCTTTTACTTGTCATTGAAACTGGAAAATTGAACACCAAGTTACCTTTACTCCTGTCATGATGTCCAGTCACAGCTTAGTGGATTTAGGTCATGCTCATTGTCTGAAGGTTGTGTAATGGTATTGTGGGAAATTTAGGAGATCACTGAAGAAGATTAGGCAGTGAGTGCAGTATGAAGATAAAGTACAACAAAGAAATCCACTGAATATCATACTTTGATTACACGGTGCCGATTGGTTAGTAGGTTTAGCTGTGTTACCACTGCTTACTGGACTGAAGTAGTGCTGATTCACTTGTAGCCTGGTTTGTGATCTGGCGAACAGAGACCCATACATACATGTGGCAGTCTGGATTTTATCCAGATATGAGACACTTCAAATGACAGGCCTAAATGGGGCCTAAGAATAAGAGGCAGTGCCCTCATCAGTAAAATGTAATTTCTTTGAAGCAATGGAAGCAATGCCTGTCTGATATGTGCATTTAATTAATGTTGCTAGTAAAAATAATTATGTGTCTCTGACATGCGGAGAGAATACCTTTCATGTGCACATTCAGAGCTGACATGAAAACAATCACTCTCCAATGATTGATGTTAACTTGATAAATACCACTTTGGAGGACATTGTGCTGCCTTCATAATTCTGGACTGTAATCACAACATGTGGACAGAAATGTCCATCAAAGACATCAAAACTGTTAATTATAAGGAATTGCTCACTTTAAACTTTAAGATAAATGTTTCTGTGTCTTGTTTTTCAGGCCAGTGGGAGGTGACTGTCAGAAGAAATGCCGGTCCTAGGTGCCCTAGTACATCACCACCTGGACCATGGCGACTCCTTGGCCGATGAGAAAAGAGAGGTGCTCCCATGGCTCCGCCTGCCTTGCTAGATGGTCGGTGTCCTGCTTGATGCTCCTATGGTTGCCTTGGGTGTTGCTATGGCTGCCGTGGCCCACCCGAGCTGAACAAGTGGGTGGTGGGGTGCATGGCGGGAAGGTGCTCCATGGTTCACTGTCGTCCCCCTCGTCCTCGTCATCTTCCTCCTCATCCCCGTCCAGCTCTTCGGCGTGGGGCTTCAACACGAGGCAGAGTGGAGGGCAGCTGGACTGGCTGCTGTCAGAGAAGGGACCTTTCCACAGATGTCCAGAGTACACCGAGTTCAGGGAGAGGTTCCAGCAGGGATTTTCTACCAGATACAAGATTTACAGGTGAGAGGGGTCAGCACTTGTGTGTGTGTGTGTGTGCGTGTGTGTGTGTGTGTGTGTGTGTGTGTTTGTGTGCGTGCGCGTGCGTGTGTGTGTTGTGTGTTGTGTGTTGTGTGTGGGTGTCAGAGAGAAGAAGAAAGAAAGAGAAGTGTGTGTAAGCAGGATTTAAAAGATCACCAGGTGAGAGGAAAATGTGTGCTCTCACTTATATCTCAGGCTACCTGCCCATCCTCTTAAGTATAGTGCTTTGCAACCTTTTTGGCTTATGACTTCAGGGATACTCAAGCGATTTATTTTTTACTTTTAAAAAGTTGGGGGGTGGGGGCCTGCAAAGGACAGATTAAAAAAGGAATGGTGAAATCAAAGCAGCAGAGGCTAAGAAATCCTTACTTGTAGTCCTTTGTACAGGTCAAGCCCCAAAAACACTGGATCCTACATTTCCCAAAATGCAGTTTGTTAGAGCATCCATGCCTGGTAAATGCCCACATGGCCATCTCCACAAGTATATTTAGCGGAGGCCCTGCTGCACATCTGAACCCTCGCACTCCTCAAGGCCTTCCCCCAACATATTTCAGCTAGCATTTCAGCTAATGTTAGCTAGCCACTGTGGACTTTGTTTTAACCAGGACCCCAGTGAAGTGTGCCAGGCTTCAAAGCCAATTTTTGTTGTGACCATACAACGAAACTCCAACTCCAACTTTTTCCCTAAGACTTACATCGTTAAAGAGGCGTCTGTAAATCAGTGACTACATTTTTTTTTTTTTTTACATTACAACCCCTGCGAACTGATTTGTTTCAATATCAGGATTTGATCCATTCAGTCTGCTAACAAGTCTAGCCTACAGCCAATCATTTTATCCCCATTCAAGTTATCAGAGGGCTAAACTGGAAGTTAGTCGCTTGGCCAGTGGAAGTAAGCCACTTGGCTTGCAAAAGTTTGTAATACCTCACCCTATGGGCCCAACAACGTGAAAGAGCTGGGCAATTTTATACAGAGAGAAGTGAAACTTTTTGGTTTTATGACCCACCGAGCAACTTTCATAGAAATGAATAGGGACCCACCTCCAACGCTGTGTCTAGGTCTCTTTATACATCCACAGGGTTCCTACGCAAGTATGGAAAGTATGGAAAAGTATGGAAATAAATTTGATGAATTTCCAGGTATTAAAAAGTATGGAAAATGAAAAATAAAGTATGGAAAAATATTTATGTTTCCAGACTATTACCACTGTTCTAAAATACTGTTTTCTAAAATAGAAAATTAGGTATTTTCTAAAATAATTTAATCAGTCCGGATCGTGTTTTATGCCGGGCCAAGCACAGTTTGTGTGAGAACAAACGTCTCAGAAAACATACCGCCCCTTTTACCTGATTGACAAGTGGTATGTCCAGTCCGCTGCCCCATGAGCCTCCTCCAGCTCCCCAGGTATCAAGTTTCACTCCAATACTGCACCTTCGACAAGAAGACGAGTTTCACGTGGTTCACAGTGGGTAGATGCAAGTTTTTGGATGGATGGCTTGACAATACTGTATATAAATACTGGTTGGCCAAGGATTCCCAATTCATACACAGAGCTAGATGCAAGCTTTGTGTGAAATCGTTTGACATCGCCAACATGGGGGAGAAGGCGATTCTGAGCCACATGAAAGGAAAAAACACAGACGTCTCGTTACTGCATCGTTTGCACCCAGAGTCCCAACCGTTTTGCCTCAGCCCAGACATTGAACTTACCTGAGTTTTTATTTACATGTCATTATGGTACTTGGCTACAATCGCCTATTAAGAATAATTAAATATGATGTGAAATATGATACACTGATATATTTACTCAGATGTCGCATATTCTCTGGAAAAAAAAATGCAGAGAAGTCTGGAAATTAGGGTATGGAAAAGTATGGAATTCTGAAATTCTAAATGTGTAGGAACCCTGCATCCATGAGTTTAACACACCTTATCCCCAGTAACATCTCAGCTAATGATAGCTAGCTGCATGGCCTGTCCCACTTTCCCTCTGACTGACTAGTACTCGTTGCCTTCATTGGTCGGGCTGGTTAGGGTCAGGCAAGAGGAGTGAGATTGGTTAGGGTTAGGGTAAGAATGTCAGGCTAAGCCAGTCAGAGGCAGAATAAGACAGAGGAGGGCACGTCATGCCATCTCCATCCTAGGAAAGAAAAACTTAAGCTAACATTAGTTAGCAACAACGACACTGTTTTTTTTAAGACATCCATACAGCACAACCACAGACCTATTGGTTAAGACAGGGGAAGAGACATGTGGTGAGACATGACAGGCAGTAAAACGTCGTTAGGAGAGGATTGTGAGAATTGAAAGGGCAATGAGGTGTGGCCTGTCCGTCACTATCTCCATGCCCTCAGTTTGGAACATGATCTTTTTGTTAAAAATGTGTAGTCTTAAAGCTTATGCAGCAACAACACTAATGACAGTATCAGGGTTATTTTATCAGACTTGTCAAAGCTCCTCCAGAGCCACAGAAGATGTTACACAGCTTTTCTTCACAAGCTGAGTAGTACTCTTCATGATGACTACACTGACCTTCATGTGTACAAAGTGAATGCCAAGAAATGTATAGTTGCAACCTCTCGTCCCAGGTAAGCTGTGAGAGGATTTTTTTAATCTTCTCTTGTATAGTTTAAATGATTCTTAGAGGCCTAAAGAGGTTAAACTCTCCAGCATTCAGCAAGAACAAAGGAAAAAAGAGACTAGATTGGAATAAAGTATAGTAAAATTGATATAATTTTCTATATAGCCTACTAATATAATCACAGATATGTATTATTGTTCATCTTGCCAGCTCCAGACAATCCTGTTACACTCATTTTTGAAGCCTGAGGAGGAAGTACTTAATAGCTGCAGTATAAACTCAGTCTACAGATACTTACTGTTCCTTTTCAGAGGGATATGACATGGATGAGCAGTCTATAGTTAAACACTAGTAGCCAAGTAGCTAACCTTGCCCATTGCACAACCTCAACTATGCAGTGTACACACCAAAGCCCACTATTGCAGAACATCAAAAAGAGAACAAAAGTAAGAGGCTTAGTGGCAGGTGGCTCTGTGAGGTACTTTCACATAAATCCCTAATATGTACCCCATGGGGGCACAGGAGAAAAAGTCAAGCAGTCATTAAAATACATCATCTGTAAAACATGAGTGTCAGCACCAGATTCTGTGCTAATACATCCAGTAGATGTTGAAATATTTCAGTGGATAACTGAAAACTTTGGTATGCTTGACATTAAGATTCATCATCTTGAGACCTTGAGTGTCTGTACCAAATTTTATAGCATTTCGTTTTAAAATTGTTGAGATATTTAAGTCTAAATCAAGGCAATGGACAGAATGACATTTGCCTTCCCTAAGGCACAATACTACACCACCTGGGACCCTCAAATTGGGAAGTACTTCTCCAAAGTCTCATCTAAATTAGCAATAAAATGCTTTAAAGGAGCAGTGTGAAGGATTTAGTGGCATATAGCAGTGAGGAGAGCAGATTGCTACCAGCTGAAACTTCTCCTAGTTAGGATTACTTCAGTGTTCATTGTTCAGTAAGTTTTTACCAGGAGCCGAATTATCCACAGAGGTCTCTTCCTCTCCAAAACAAATGGACAAGATGATTAAAGCCGGTAAAAATACTCAATAAAGCAGTTTCATGTAACAAATTGTGTGTTGTTTGGCTGTTTGGCTGGTTGTCAACGTGAACGGCCCTATCTAGAGCCAGTGTTAGGTTTACCTATTGTGGGCAACCTTAGAAACATGGTAGTGCAGCCTAGCGATCTTTGTAGAAGAAGACCTGCTTCTTTTGTTGATATAAATGGCTTGTTCAAAAATAAACAAAAACACAAGAATTCTTATTTTCATGTGATTATACACACAAGAAAACATGGGTTTTATATAGTGTTCCATTTCTGCCAGTATATCTCCCTGAATCCTACACACTGGACTTTTAAAGGAATGATTAGCCAAGGAGTAACAGCTTAAAATAAATAAATAAATAAATAAATAAGGAAAATTAAGTATTGCTGTAATGCCATGAGTACTGCAGTTTGTTTCAAATATGCAAGAAAACATTTGGCTTTTTGCTCCCATCCGTGCTGTATGACTTTTTATACAACAGTTAGTTGCCGCCCTGCAATCTGATTGGTCGAGAGACAGTAAAACCGTGACAATATTGGAGTACAACATTATGGTTATTTCACTGTGTATGTATCACTCCGCCTCACAGCTGATTGCAATCAACAATCAAATCAAAACTGACGGTTAGTGTCAGTTAGGTCAGCAGTTGCGTTGTAGGCTAATTAATTCATCCACTGTCAAACTGCCAAAAATATGAATTTATTTCCTAAAATAAGTTTTGAATTGAACTATGAATGGTCAGCAGAGGAAGATGAGGGAGAGGAGAAGCTGAATCCATCTGAGCACACATCCAGGTTTGTCAGTGTTTCATCAGCGGAGCTCAATGACTTGCATCACCATGCAGTCACCAGAGACTTATTTCACCGGCTGCACAATTAATGGAAATGTGCAGATAATTGTGTATAAAGAGTAAGTGCCTGGCGCACCATGTTTGTGTTACATAGCAACTGTGACAGTGGAGTCCTGAGGGAACTATTTTTGTTGGCGGAAGACAAATAAAATGCTTAAATGATCTATTTTGTCCTCATTTTTCAACATTTCTTAATCAGCCTTGCTTATTTAACTGTTAAACTGTTGTATAAAAGCAATATCACACTCAAGCTCGTGATGTTATACTCGTATAACATCACCTGCGGCCTCGTGCCTATGACCGAATCATAGTCACACATCTTTATTTGTAAAAAAAAAAAAAAAAAAACAACAATGTTAATACTAAGCATACACAGGGACACAAATATTCCAATTTTTTATTAGATGTTGGGTAGCCAGGTAATATTAAAGCAAATATCACTCAGGGAAATATATTAAAAAATACTGCCACATCATAATCAAATGAAATGGAATAAAA